TGCCTGAGGTGTCCAGGGTGACTCTTGGGGGGCTCTGGGGACCCACAGGGGTCTGGGGGCTGCCTGAGGTGTCCAGGGTGACTCTTGGGGGTCCTGGGGGGTGGGGGGTGGTGCGGGGGCCGTGGGGCGTTTCTGGGCTTTCCCGGGGTGGTTCAGAAGGGGTCTGGGGTCCCCTGGGGGGGCTCCTGTGACATCCCCCCAGGACCCCCAGGGCTGTGTCCGGCTGGAGATGGTGAATGTGTCGCAGCTGCTGGAGACCCTGGCGCAGCACCTGGGGGGGCTGCAAGGGAGACCCCTCAACTTCCCCGGCTGCGTCCGCTTGCGCTGCCACCCAGGTATCCCCCGGGACCCCCAAAAGACCCCCGTGACCCCCCCGGGGCAGCTGCTGACGCCCGTGTCCCCCCAGGCCCGGCGCTGACCAGCCCAGCAGTGCAGCATGAGGGGACCTTGGGGGCCAGGCAGGGACCCCCCAGCCCCGCTGGACATGGGCTGGTGCTGCTGGGGGGAGTTGGGGGGGTCCTGGGCCTGGCGGCGGCGGCCTGGGTGCTGTGGAGGAGACCCTGTGCCCAGGTGGGGACTCTGGGGGCACTGAGGGGCACCGGAGGGGTCGGCGTTACTGGGGGCGCCAGGGGCGGTGGGGGCATGGGGGGCGCTGTGCGTGTTGGGGACACCGGGAACAATGTGGGCGCTGGCTGTGCCGAGGTCACTGGGAGCACTGGTGGCTGTCTTGGGGTCACTGGGAGCACTGGGGAGCACTGGGAGGTCACTCCCCTCAGCCCCCCCCAGCCCTCACAGGGACCCCCGACACTGGAGCACGACGGGACCTGAGTGGCTGAGCAATACCTGGGGACAGACACAGGTACTGGGAGAGCTCCTGGATACTGGGAGCACTGGGAATGTCCTGAGGGGGGCCCAGGGGATCCCCCGGATCATCAGGACCTCACCCTCTGCCCCTGTCCAGGCTGGCTTGAGCCACTGGTGAGAGGCGGGGACCCCCCTCGTTGCCTGCTGGAAGCCCCTGGGGGGCCACACCGGGATGTCCCGGAGCCACGGAGACACGAGGGGGCTCGGCCTGGCTCCCTGCAGTGCCCATAAAGGCCATGTTGACCCTCTGAGCCTGAGCCTGCTTTGCGAGCAACTGGGTGCACTGGGACAAGCATTTGGGACAACTGGTACGGAGCAAGGCGGACACAGCAGTGCCCAACTGGTCTTTACTGGGAGGGTGGGGGTCTCACAGGGGCGGGGGGCTCTGGTAGCGCAGCTGGGGCTGGGGCCACTGGCGGGGCAGGAGGTAGAGCAGGGCCAGCAGCACCAGCAGCGCCAGAGCCCACGGGGACAGCGGTGCCCACGGTGACAATGGCGCCTGGGGGGCCAGCGCCTCGGCCACCTCCTCACTGCCCCCTGCCAGCCCTCCTGCTCCGGACAGCGCCGTCCCCGTGTCCTCCTCCTCCTCCTCCTCCTCCTCCTTGTCCCCCGTCCCCTGGGCAGAATCTGTGGGTCAGTAGCCGAGGGTGCCCTGCAGGGTGTCCCCCGACCCCACCCTTACCTGGCTCGCCGCTGCCGTGGCCTGGATGGCCAGCTGGCCACCACGCGGGCACCACGGGCGCCTGTGGGGAGGAGAGGAGGGTGAGGCGGCTGAGCTGAGCACTCTGCAGCATCCTGAGGATGTCCCCCGTGCACGGGTCCCCCCGTACATGGCCCAGGCGTCCCGCAGCTGGCCCAGCTGCTGCCGCAGCCGTGTTGTCTCCAGACGCGATTCCTGCAGGGAGAAAGGGGTCCTCACCCTCTGGCCTTGACCCCCACAGAGAGGGTGGCCACCGTGGCGCTTTGCTGTGGCCCAGGGGCTGCGTGGCCGCTGTCGGGGCTCACACCGAGCTCAGGTGTGCCGTACCTGCACCACCCGCTCGTACTCCTCCAGTGCTGCCGTTAGTTCCTGCGCCCTCTGCCCCGCCTGTGGGACAGGGCCCGGGCATGAGGGGCCGTGGGAGGCGGCTGGGGGTGGCTCTTGTGACAGCTGAGGTGGCGGCAGTGTCACTCACCTGGGCAAGGGCTGCATCCCGGGCAGAGAGCAGGGCGGTGCCACGGCAGAGCTGGGCCTGGGCGGAGGGATGGGGACGGGGACTCGTTGTCACCGTGTGGCGCCAGCCCCCAGCACCGCCCACCGTGGCCACCGTGGCCACCGTGCTCACCTCCAGGCTGGCCATCCGGGCCGCCTGCACCTGGATCTGCTCCCGCAGTCCCTGGCCCTCAGCGAGGAGCCGCTGGTTCTGCCGGGGTGGAAACAGGGCCGGGGTTGGTTCTCCGTGGCGCTGCCCCCCTTGGGCAGCCCCCGGTGCCAGGCTCACCTCCTCCTGCAGACCCTCGGCCTGCGAGCACAGGCTGTGCTGCTCCTTCTCCTGGGGAGGGCACAGCCGTGAGGGGACACCGTGTGACACCAAATGTGACACCAAATGTGACACCAAATGTGACACCCAAACGTGACACCCAAACGGGACACCACATGGCGCCTCCGCTTAGCCTCTCACCGCGTGCCGTGCCAGCCGCCGGAGCTCGGTGTTCTCCTCCTCCAGCCCCTTCACCACGGCCTTCATGTCGTCCAGCTCCTCGATGGCCACCCTGGCCTGCTCCAGCGCCTGCCGGCTGCTGCAGGGGCCAAACAGCGTTTCAGCCTTGCCGGGATGCTGACGCAGAGCCCCTGCCCGGGAGCCCCTCGGCAGCACCTTCGCAGCTGTGCCTGGAGCTGTGAAACCTCCTCGGCCAGGCGGGCGTTGAGCTCCTCAGCCTGCTCAGCATCTCGCTGCAGTTTGGTGTTCTGGGCCGCCAGCTGCCGGGCACGGCTCCGCAGCCCCGCGGCCTCAGCGCTGCTGGGGAGTGACACCGGTCCCAGGGAGCTCCTGGGAGCACGGCCAGGGATGGCGGGGTGTCCCCACCGTGGGCACTTACGGGCTGGCGACGTCCGTGTTGTCACCCTGGAGCTGGGCGGCCGCTGGGAATGCGAATCCGTCGTCCTCTGTGGGACGGGACACAAGGAGCTGTGCTCGTGTCCCCATTGGGGCCACCCCGACTCCCTTTCCCTGTGCCGACACCCACCCGCCAGCACTGGTCCAGTGTCACCAGTCGCCACGTCCTGCTTCTCTTCTCTGCGTGGACGGAGCCGCGGGTCAGCACCACTGACCGGTCCGGCCGGCCCCGAGCGCCGCCCCATCTCTGGGCACTGACCCGTCCTGCCGGCACGCCGCGATCCAGGCGCCCATGGCCGTGCGGAACCGGCTCCAGTCCAGCGCCGTCCCTGCGGCCTCGGGGTCCAGCGCCCGCCGCAGCGCCCGCAGCCGCCCATCGTGCCCGCTGTGCCCCGTCATCGCCGCCACGTACTCGACCACCCGCTGCGGCTGCACCATCCCTGCGGCGGAGCGAGGCCTCAGGGACCGTAGTCACCATCCCGGGGAGTTTTGGCCGTGGCCACCACGGCCCCCGGGGGTTTTGGCTACCTGTTCGCTCGGGGTCGCAGGCAGCGAAGGTGCAGTCCAGAGCAAACTCGTCCGAGCAGCCGCTCTCGTCAGGGGCTGAGGTGAGGGGGGACATGGGTTATGGAGGGGCCCAGCGCCTCATCCGCCCCCCGCCCCGCTCCCTCATGGTCCCCGCACCTGGCAGGGGGATGACAGCGCCCGGGGCGCAGACCCCCTCTGCAGCCATGGTGTCCGGGGGTGCTCCGGTGTCGCCGCTGCCCCGGGGCACAGCCGGGGATCGGGGCTTTCTGAAGGGTCCCGGGACCGTCGTGAGACTGAGGGGGAACCGGTGTGTGGGGGGGGCGGGAATCGCCTCACGGCGGAGGAAAAAGGGGCGGGGCCTGGCGCGAGCCGTTCCCGCCCAGCCGCGAGGGGGCGTGGCCACGTTAAAAGGCTCGGTGGAAAGGGGCGGGGCCTGGCGCGAGACGTTCCCGCCCAGCAACGAGGGGGCGTGGTCAAGTGAAAAGGGGCGTGGAAATGGGCGTGGCCCACGCTGCTCCACGCGGGCCGCGCGTTCCCGGTGCCCTCCCGGTGCCGTCCCGGTCCCGTCTCGGTTTCGCTGCTTGCCAAAGGCTTTTTATTGAAGGACAAAGCCCTCCCCGCTTCCCCCCACACCACCCTAGCCCCCTCAGAGCCCCCGCAGCAGCTTCTCGTAGTGGGAGTCCAGGTTCCGGACCAGAAACATCGACAGCATCAGCAGGGACAGCTGGGAGCAGAGAGCAGGATCAGCGTTCCCGGACCCCCTTTGGATTTCTGACCCCCCTCTCCGCCACCCTAAATCCCCCCCACAGACCCTTCTGGCCACCCTGAATCACCACCAACCCCCTGGCTCCTCACGGACCATCCCCCGAACCCTCTCTGGTCCCCCCCGGCTGCTGCCCAGCCCACCCAACCCATGGTCCCACAGCCTTCCGACCACCCCCAGGACCCCCCAGCTCAGACCCCAGCCCCAGGGCATCCCCCTACCTCCCCCAGGCCGATGCCTACGCAAACCCCCACGACGGTGACCAGGTTTCCAGCCAGCCACGTTTGGACGCTCTCCTTGCAGCCCTGGGGTGACAACTGGGGGTGACTTTGGAGCCCCTCACAGAGCTCCAGGACCCCCCGATTCCCCCGCGCCTCACCCTGGGGAAGATGTCTTCGGGGTCAGCCGTGGGGCAGCGGCCGTGGGGAAGCATCCATGGGTTCTTGTGGGTGCCGTTGGGTGCCCTGAGGCAGGAGCAGGCGATGGCCCTGCCCCTGTCCCTGTCCGTGGTGGTGTCATCGTGGTGGTCCCAGTCCTGGGGTCTTTTCCAGCCACAGCAGCCGAACTGGGTGTGTGGGGGGGGGCAGGGGGTGAGTGTGGTGGCCGTGGGGTAGCTCTAGGGGTCTTTTGGGGGGGGGGGTCTCACCTGCTGCTGAACAGCATCCCAGCTCTCGTGGGGGTCCCCCGGTGGTCCCTGGGCTGGGTACCCACGGATCAGCTCCTCTGCGTAGGTGGCCACCTTTGTAGCCAGCTGGGGACGGGGGCGGGATCAGCACGGCATCGCCCCACGACCCCAGGGTCCCCCCCCGACCCCGGGGTCCCCCCCTCATCCTTGGGTTCACCCCTGCACTCACAGCAGCCCGCTGCGTGTAGACGATGATGGCCACCGTGATCTGGGCGGTGAAGAGCAGCAGAAGGAGCCCAAAATACTTTCGGGATAAACAGGGAGGGTGGGGGTCAGCCACACCTCGCCCCCCAGCCCCTCCCCGGCACCGGGGGCAGCTCAGAGGGGACCCCCACTCCCCGCCGCAGCTCCCCCGGGCACAGGATGTGGTGGCACCACGTGGCCCCGCGGTCGCCCCAGGAAGTTGCAGCACAGCTGCCCCAGCCCCCTCCCAGTTCCGTGACCCCTCCCGACCCCCCCCCACCCCCCCAATGGCTCCCCAACTCACCAGCCCCAGCATGACCTTGACCTCCTTGAGGGCCCCCAGGCAGCCCAGGAAGCCCAGGAGCATCGTGACGATGCCGACCCCAGAGAAGCCGTAAGACCAGACCCTCAGGCTGACCAGCGGTGACCCTGGGGGACACGGTGGAGGGGAGTGGGGGGCTCAGGGAGCCCCTCAGCTCGGGGTGCCACACGTCTCGGGGTGCCTCACGCTTTGGGGGTCCCTTACCCAGCACGGCGGCGAAGCTCTGCCGGTCGAAGAGGACCCAAAAGCTGAAGGCGAGGAGGAGGACGCCCAGGAACTGCGGGGGCCGGGGGGGACCCCAAGTCAGGAAACGGGGGTCCCCCAGTGCCCGCGAACACTGGGAGATTGTTGAACCCCTCCACGTCCCGCTGTGTCCACTCAGCCCCGCGTTCCCCATCTTCCCAACTCCCCCTAAGCCGTGTGATCTCCTCCCCGCCACCCCAAGTTTTACCTCCTCCCTGTACCCCCTACCCCCCAAATCCTCCCCCCCAGCCCCACTCACGAAGAAGAAGAGGTTGAGGAGGAAGAGGAAGCACTTGGTGCAGCCGAGGCAGCTTTTGGGGCTCATGTCTGCACGGGGCTCACAGGCACACGGACTCAGAGCGCGCCCCAAGCCCGAACCGCCCCGCGGCTCCCGGGTTCCC